CTTCTTGGCAACCTGGAAAGGAAAAAGATTATAGTAACAGTTTACTGAGATAAGTATACTACACAACGATGGAGTGTATTTTGGAGATGCATGGAGTTGTTTCATGGGTAGGATTTGGCCTACCTCCTGGACAGGCTAATCCAAAATGATAGGGTTTTAGGTTCCACTTGTTATCTGATATAGGCAAGCAAATCAAATCAGACAAGCAGCTCTTTAAACATGCACTTTATAATACCTGAAATAGCCGTATCTGAAATATCTGAATAATATCTGAAAGAAAAAAAAAAAAAAAAAAAAAAAAAAAGGAGACAGAAGTCTGACAAACCATGCTGGAGGTCTTTTGTTGCCATAGTTAAAGTATCCATAGTGTATCAAGAAGTGAAATACCATAATTTTCCAACACACACAAAAAATGATGTTACATTCAACACAAATTCACTTTACAATGGGACCTCTTTCCAGTGGAAAAATATGTAAAAATAACTTCAGTAATGTCATATCTGATGACCAGCATGTCCACTGTTGCATATTGACTGAGTTCAGTCCCAATGTATAATCTATTTTTAAAAGGATAAATTTATTGAGGAAGTTAGTTACAGGCAAGATAAATAAATAAATAAATAACAAGTCTTTAACTGAGAATGATTTTACTAGAATCAAAAATCCAGTTATGTAGTGAGAGAGGATATTGTCTTTTGTTAAAAATATCTTCACTGAAGAAGGACAGAAGATGTAGCAAAAACTTTTCGCTTGTTCAACAACAGACATGAGAAATCATCAATGGGAAAATTTTACAGTCAGAAGTACTGAGGACAGAGGTATTAAAATCAATAAAAAAATATATAATGAACAAAATAAATACTAGCAAAGTCAGAGGTTTGTTATTAGAATCAAACAGTTGAAACTGTCAACAACAGTGCAGGACAGAAGTATTCAATGGTTATTTCTACATAATGCAGTCCCATTCTCATTGTGAATGAATTATGCTTTGTTCAAAATAATAGGTAAATCATTTTAATACCTTGGTAGTTTAAAAATAGTTTATTACTGGACTGCCTGAACAATTGATGTTGCTATTTAAGAAATTTAGGAATATCGAGGAAACATTAAAATCCTGTATAAAGCTAAGGTTATGCTAGCTTTTAGACAACATAAAAAAAGATCTGTGGTATATAATTCTAGCTATTCTGGCATCAGTAGCAGGTAAAATAGCTGATATGTGATGTAATCAATAGAAGATATGATTGTGTAATTAGTGCTAATGATTGATAGAGGTGACTGCATTGACATACACCTCTGTAAAGCAACAGACATACAGACATACAACAGCTCATCAATCTAATTAAGTGACTAGTGTTACACAAAATCAGTGTAACACATCATAATTAATTAAAAAACAGCTGAATGACAGGTCTCCAAAAGCAACTACAAACAGCTAATCCTTAACCCCTGGGTAATTCAGGAGCAATTTGTAGATCTCTGCTCTTTTTCATAGGAGAGTTTTTCCCAGAGTGTTTCTGGACTCTTTTTCAGGACCATGCTGCCCACCCCAAAGCTTTTGGCGAGCCCTTTGCAAACCTGCTCAGCTGGTGCAGCTCCAGCTGCTCCAACTCCTGCTGGGAGCTGGCACAGGCTGGTTGCTGAAACCAGCGTATGTGGCCATGCTACACCAGCTCCCTCAACCTGCTTTGACATCCTGAAAACCAAATGCCTCGCTGACACGAGGTGGAACGAGCTCTAAACGCACCCTCGGTGCTCTTGCCTTGGCTTGGAAAGCCCCATGGTTTGGAAAATGCTGTCTTCTACTACTACAGGAGTGAAATGAAGGGATATTTAAGGGTATAACTGGTAAAATTGGCAGAGGACATAAAATGGATACAGAACTAAACAGTACAAAGGAAAAAAAACAGTTTTTCAGTAGGGAAATTGACATCCTTTAGTAAGCCAGGATTATTTGAACGTGCTTTTTGAGACAGCTGAATGCAAGGTCATTCAGCAGGAACAAAGAATGTAGGTCACGTTTTGAAGACTAGAGACTGTGTCCTGGAAAGCAGTGGCTCTGAACGGGATTTAGGGGTCACAGTGGTTAGCCAGCTAAAGAGAAGCTCCCAGAACAATGTCCCAAGGCAGTTGGTGTGGCCTTAAGAGACAGTGCTGACAGTTGGGTGCTGACATAACTGTATCCAGTTCTACTGCGTGCATTTCAAAATGGTGCTTAAAAATTAGAAATGTTCATAAAAGCACTGCTGGAACACTGTTCGATCTGACAAACCTGATTAGCAACGCCAGAGATGTGAAGTCCAACTTTGCTAACTTTATCCAAAAGAAGGTTAAGAAGTGACTGTCTTGTGGTTTATAAACATGCATCACAGAGGACTCTTGAAACACACAAAGTTCCAAAGTCTGCAACCAAGAAAGACAATTTCATATTAGAAAAACAGTACACTTCTCTATCAGGATGATTATATAGCTGTTGAAACAATTTACACAGTCTATGCTTCTGTTTAGAATTGGATTGTTTTAATGCAAGCTGTGGACAAACAAATAAAAAAGGTGGAGAAGCATCTCTTGAAGTTCTTTAAAAAAAACACATGAGAAGTATGCATGACAAAGGCAAGCAGACTGTGAGGTTGTGTTGTGTCTTCATGTTAAACACAAAACTGTAAATGGACAATAACGAAGAAGATACATGCCTATTAGATTTTTACTTTAGCATTTATTTATACTGCATTCTTTTAATCTTTGTGTATTTTTAAAAATGTATTTTACGGTACAATGGTAATCAGAGCGAGGATCTTCCTTGAACATCTGCAAAGTATTTTGCACACTTAGCCTAGACGTGAATAATACATGTCAGAGAGAGGTAAACACCAATGGAAGAAATAAATTATGTACGTGAACACAGGGCACTACAGCTTGAAGTAATGAGCTGAAACATAAGAAATTTTCCATTAACCTGATTGTCAGAAAAAATATCCTTACAACTGGAGGAATTCAACTTTGAACGGATGTCTCCTTTGGGAAGAAGTCCCATTACCTGCAATAGTGGTGGACAAAAGAGCACTGAAGAAGAATGTTAAAGAGCAGCCCTTTGTCAGGACCATGATAGTCTTTTCCATCTCTAATCTTTGCAGTCTCCTGGTTTTTCTTATCATTTAAGACTGTCATGAATATTTTATGTGATTGTTGACCTACAAAAGCAGTGGTTTAAAGAACAGAATTTTAATGCAAGATTACCAGAATTCTTTGAAAAATATTTTCCGTTCTCCAGTCAAGTACACTAACCTCTACAAGTATCACCTTATCTGGTACATCTAAATACGCATCAAGAGATTTTCAAAAGCAGTAGACTAAAAAGCAACTTAGCTGGTGAAACAGTCAATGTGGTGGTGCTCAGTTTTTGAGAACCTGCATGTGAAAAATGACAATCCTTAGTTAAGTGCCTCAGCACCCCACTGACTCTCTGGGGAGAATTAAGTGCCAAGATCCCCCAAAACTCAGCAAGGCAGTAAGAGAGTGCCAAGGTCAGAGTTGTACAATGAGTTCTGAATTGCTTTGGTGTTCAGGAATTTTATTGCTATTACTCCTTCAAGCAGAGGATTTCCTGAAGGTTTTAGGTGCTCATTTCTCTTTCAAAAACTAAGGAAACAAGTGTATCCAGAAGACTCCCGCCTCTGCTCTATGCAATACCTTAGTTATTAAAGAATTCCTCCAGGATGTTAAAGACATAGGTACAATCCATTTTTTTCTCCATCAGGGTATCTTCTGTCTTTGAAGAGCCTGTCTGTGGTCTAGGGGAATAGGGAAGAGAAGGAGTGCTCCATCCCCTTCTTAGTTTGAGCATCTTACAGCTTTCGTAGACTGAAGGCATCAATTGCCAAAAACCAGGCAGATTAAGTGGGAAGCTCTAGCCTGATTAGAGGTCTTCAATGGAAGCAGGGCACCCTGGGCTTAAGGCCATGCTCCACTGACTGTTTCTGGATTTATGGATATAAAACACATAAACGGTCTGCAACACATGCACACAAAGCCATCTTTTGTCCTTCCCGACTGAGTGCCATAACCACTAGGTTACAGACTAATTCCCTCTCTCTGGTCTAATGCATTTTTAATTCTTCGAGAGTGCAAAGTGGAGCAGCTTCAGCAGAAGGCCAGACAGTGTTTTCTCTCCTTTCAGGTCCCCCTGGACTGCATGCTGTTTACCTGGCAAGTGGAAGAGGGTTAAATTTCCTTCCTACACAGAGGAGGGCAAACCTGGTCCTCTGCCTTGAGGATGTTTTAACCTTTGATAGTTTTATACTAACATCAAGAATAACCAAGCCTTTGAGGAGAAAGCATTGGTTATAACTGTTTTGTTCTGTTTGTTTTGTTTTTGTGTGTGGCAGTTGACTTTGCAAATGTGGCCCAAGACCCGAGGGGCCTGGGCACGAGCCTGGTCAGTCAGATGAAGCCTGAAATGCCTTGGGGCAAATACCTCTTCTGGGAAATTTAAGCATAAAAACTGGGGGATCTGTGGAGGTTAGTGAGCTCCACGGTCAGCCAGCAGCTTCTCAAGCAGTGTGAGGAAGCCTGGCGCCATTTTAGTACCCTGAACTCCGCACCAATTCAACGTTCAACACACAAAAAAAAAGTCCTGTCACGGGGCTGTAGTGACTGGGTGTACCCTCAGTACTTTGGGATCGGGGAAACCTTTGGGGTCAGGGAAACCTTTGGGGTCAGGGAGGACCGTTGGGATCAGGGAGAACCGTTGGGATCAGGGAGGACCCTTGGCATCAGGGAAGACCCTTGGGAAAAGCAAGTGACATTTTCGGTAAAAACACCTAAGGACGTCCTCGGACGCCGGGCCAGGGCCTCGCCAGCGGCAGGGCTGGCCGGGGGGGGGTTGAGGGAGGCGACGGGCGGCCAGAAATGGGCTGAAGGCGGCCGCGGGCAGGGCTGTGGCGACCGCCCCGCAGCGCCTGGCGAGGGGAGCCAGGGGGAGAGGGGGAGACGGCGGCGCCGCCCTCTGGAGAGAGCGGCGGGGAGAGGCTGCTGCGGAGAGCCGCATGTCAATGAGGGCCGGGCTAATGCAAATCACCGCCAGCGGCAGCAGCCGAAGAAAGGCGAAGCAGCTGCAGCCCGGGCTCCCTCCCCAGCAGCAGCTCTGCAGCCGGGGGAGGCGTAACAAAGGCGCCCGAGCCGCTTGCCGCGGCTGCTCCCGCGATCGCAGCCGGGTGGTCGCCGGCGGCGGGGGGGAAGGCGCCGCTCCTCAGCCGCCTCCCAGCTCGCTTCGCCGCCGCCCCTTTCTCCTTCCCTCCGCGCCCCGCCGGCAGGTCCGAGGGAGAAGCGGTCGTCGGGCTGCGGAGAGCAGGTGAGGGAGGGCCGGGGGGCTGCGGGCGCCCCCTCCGCCGTGCCCGGGGACCGGTGGGGCGCGGCCGTTGGCTGCCCGCCGCCCTGCACCTGTGCCCGCGGTGCCGCCCGTGGGGGCTTCCCGGCGCTGCCCCCCGCCTGCAACCGGCTCCGAGGCGGTGGCTGAGGCCGGGCAGAGGCCCCTTGTGGCCGGGGAGCCCGGCAGGTGGGCCCCCGGCCGGGAGGGAGGGCTCCCGGTGCCGCTTTTGTGACCGGGGGGGGTGGTGGGTTCGTGAAGGGGCTGAGGCACCGGGTGCCGCCTCAGCGCTCTCCTCGGTGTATTTCGAGCACGTTTCCCGCATCCCAGCGCAATATCGCTTTATTCCAAGCCGCCTTCGCATGCATCCGTATTTTATTTCTTAATTTTTTTCGGTCTGGGTGATGGTTCCCGGGTCTCTCGCCGTGCCGCTTTATGTAAGGGCTCCCCCGCACCTGCATCGCCCAGCCAGGCACCGCGGGCTCCCGGGGTGTGCCCCGTGAGGTGCACCCGCCGCCGTCCGTGTGTATGTGTGTGCAGTGATCGTGGTATTTAGCCGCACGCTGGCAACGTGTGGTGAAATTATTTCGGATTTCTTTGTCTGCTGCTCTGACCTTGTGCTTCGCACGCGCTTGTCTGCAAAGAGCGAGGCGGCGTTGTGCAGGGAGCTCCATTTCTCTTTTGGAGGGCGTAATTGGGAATTACGGCCATTATCGATCGGAGCGTAAGCGTGCGGAAGAAAGGGCAGTGCCTCGTGCTTCTCTCTCCCCCAGAACCCCAAATTATTACAGCCGAAGGTCTTTTTTAAAAGTGTATCTTCATAGAAACTTAGTTGTCCTTTTGTGTGCTTGAGATGGCTTGAGCAAAGGGAACAGCAGACCTCAGGAGAATCCATTTCTCCCGTCACAGGCATTGCTTCCGACATCCAGCTTTTGAATTGCGAGTTCTGGGAATAACAGGTTCATATTGGAATGACAAATGAAGCAAAATAAGTTTTATAAATAATTCTTTTTAAATGGTGTCACTGATGGTATAGTCCTGAGCATAAGCTGTGGCCATTAAGCAGCATTTTGTATTTGACCCATGGAGGACTGTCGGTGAAATGCCACAGTGGATGCTCATGCCCTCTTAGCTCAACTGTGTGTGGGTACTGATGAGGGACAACAGATTATTTTTCTCTTATATTTATATATATAATGACATTTTATTGTGTATTCATACATGCACATACACACACATCTTATATGATGCAATATGTGTGCATACACATATATATCCACACATACTAGGTCGCTTTAAAAGTATTTAGAAAGATAAATCTTGCATATATACATAAGCACATGACCCTGTGCCTGCACAACAGAACAAGTTGTGAGCTGTACCTAAACCAGGGTAGATAATTCCCAAGGCCCTGTGCTTGCAGTGGTTAGCCTTAGGTGCATGGTCTAGTTAAGCACGTGAACAGCTCAGAGAAGTTGTTGAGCACATTCCCTACAGCTTTGCAGCATCAAAGTCCAGCTGTACAATCACTGTTTTCATACAAACTTGTGTACGTTAAAGAACGTATATAAGTCTTTCTGTGTTTGCTCTTATTGCTTTACAGTGAGTCTGGATATTTTTTTTTTTAATGGACGTATAATTATGAGTGGTTTAAACAAAGCTTGTGCTTGCTGTTTTTTTTCCATTTTATTGGAAATCAATGAGAGAGACCACTTCTAAATTAGGTCTGTGTATCTGTGCTATAAATAAGCTTACTGTGCTTTGCTGTTCTGCAGCCAACTGCAAATCAAGGTGGCATTTAAATTAGAAGAAATGCATTTTGAACCTGATGATCTTTTGGTCGTCTTCTAATCTTCACTTTTTTTAAGTATAGAAAAAATTATGTGCAATTTGTAGTATTTAGTCTTGCATTGGCCAACAAAAGGAGAGCAAGTACATGCCTCCATGATTTAATTTCTGAAAATGTGAATTTTTATTTATGTGAACTATATTGAACAGCTGGCTGAGATCATTTTGGTCAGAACTGAGAGGTCCTTGCCACTGTCAAGCATAGGAGATGTGAGTTGCTGGTTTGCTGTTTGACACTGAATTTCTCACTCCTTCAGTGATACTTTTATTGGCAAAAGAAGCTGTCACCATTAACCGCTTTGAATGCTAGCCCTAGGACATTAATGATACTTCTTGAAAATTTTATAAAGCACAGAAGTAGCTTGCTCATTGAATAATATGAGTTTTATGGCTTCTTCTTTCCCTCTTACCTTCTTTTTTTCCACAGCATTTGAGCATTTCTGTTTTTTTCAGAATACCCAGAGTATATTAGAGTGTAAGGATGGCTGAAATAGATGATTACAAAGCTAAGACTGTAGGGAAAACTACATTTGATTTGACCCACCAAGTCACCTTACTTGTAGTAATAGTCCAGATTCTCATCACCAGCCTGCAATCTATTGCTCTGAGGAGTTCTTACTTGTTGCCAATCAGTAAACAGTTACTACCTTCTGAAGTGACACCTTTTGAGATCACAGGTGGAACAAACAGTTCAGTGGGGGCGAATGGTCTTGAATACCACCCAAATGTAAGATGAGGAGAAGTAGAAAGCTGACCCATTTGTTCTTTTTTTTTTTTTTTTTCCCCAGTAGCTCTACTTTGTCACCTCGGTTTCAGAGCTCTTACTGAATTTGAATAAACAGTTCTTAGTGTTTGTGTATTGTTGGCAGTGGGTTTCCTGAGTGGTGTTTCTATGACATATAGAAGCCTAGCTAATAAAATAGATTTTATGGCACGGTGGGAGGGTTGTAAAATGAACACATGAACGTAGTGTGGTTTCACTCAAGTGTTTTTCTCAACCTAGAAAGCAGTCTTCTGTGTATGCCTTGTATATTCCTTGATATCTTAAAGTGAGCTCCAATAAAATGAGGAAGTTGTTAAACTCCTTCTCTTCTCTTGTGCATCCCTTAGATTGAACTTCAAGATGTCCTTTGGGAGAGATATGGAGCTGGAGCATTTTGATGAGCGTGATAAAGCGCAGCGGTATGGCAGAGGGTCCCGGGTGAATGGTTTGCCCAGCCCTACCCACAGTGCCCACTGCAGCTTTTACCGAACCCGCACTCTACAGACCCTGAGTTCTGAGAAAAAAGCCAAGAAAGTTCGCTTCTATCGTAACGGAGACCGGTATTTCAAAGGGATTGTATATGCTATCTCCCCTGACCGGTTTAGATCTTTTGAAGCTCTGCTGGCTGATCTGACCCGAACTCTGTCTGACAATGTGAATCTGCCCCAGGGAGTGAGAACAATCTACACGATTGATGGCTCCAAGAAGATTTCCTCCTTGGACCAGCTAGTAGAAGGTAAGCAGTAACATTGGGAAGTGTAGAGTTATGTTTGGGTCAGGGTTGGTTTGGCTAACGTCTTAAATCTCTGCAAATAAGCAATGTTACTGTTCTTACTGATAGGAAAAGGATCTTTAATGACCTAGAACTGTGAATATCATAATTTGGGCCTTGAAGTATTGTTGCTTTGCTACTTATTTCCCTCTTGTTGAAAGTAGTCTAACCTTTCTCTATCAACCTCTTGTTGGTAGACCTAGATCTTGAAGACCTCACCTGCTGCTTCTTCCGAACTTGCTTATTTAAAAATGGCAATGAGAGTTTAGTCAGTTAAACCTGATGAGGTCCAAGGTTTTCTAGGTATCATCAGCAGATGTCTTCACCTCTAGAGGAAGGTCAATTCTGATTTTTATTTTTTTTTAATTGTTATTTCTTTTAAGTCTCTCACTACCAAGTGAAGATCTCCAACTCTTCCTACAAATGATATGCGTAAAGTACCCTTCATTCAGGGTGGAATAGATGTAGGCAGCCATTTAAAGAGCAATGTTGTAGCTGTAGTTCAGCTGGGGGAGATGGTTTGAATAGAATTAAACACTACAGGAGAGAAAAGTTCTGCTCTTCTTCTTCTAGTCCCTTGGTGTCCTTAGGTTGCTTTTTAATCAAGTTTGTGTTCCTGCACTATAAAGCACTATCACTTACTCCAACATAAAGTGCTTCTGCCTGGCAGTGGATGTCTTTTTATGTGTGTAGACGATAGCTCTTAGTATAAAACATGAAAATGTATTAGGTCTGAAAGCATTAACCAGTACGAAGGGATAAGTAACATGTTTCTTGTCTGAAGTTTAAGTGCAGATCCTTGGATGCGATCAAAGAAAATAAAAGCTGAACAATAATGTTTTTGTTGTTGCTTTCATTCTGCCCTTGGTCTCAATGTGCCTTGGTCAGACCTGTAAACTAAAACCTATGGACCTATAGCTGCTGGGGAACCAATTTAGAGTTTCAACAGAGTTTACAATTTCCTCCTGATATTCATTTTTAGCATGGGATGAGAGAACTTACAGTGCCAGGGTGCAGTGAGATGATCAGAAGAATGCTAATCTGGGGAGAGAAGAAGAAAAGGGTAATACTGAAAAAGGTTCCTGAAAGAGGAGCACATCTCTGCATAGCGGGTGTGCAGCCACCATTGAGTTGTCTCCTTCAGATAACATAACAGAGGAAAGCTTTTTAAAGAGAAGTTTTGAGAAGAGGGTATTCTTGATAATCTTCCGTTCCAATGAGGCAGAATAGGGAACAACACAAAGATGCTCAGAGAAATTGGAGTGATGGGATTGCCCGTGTAAGTAAGAGTTTGTGGGTTTAGGACCATATAGTTCTAGCAAAATGGAAAGGCAACTGGTCCCAAGATTAATGTCATGAATTCTAGGACAGAGTTAGAACTGCATTTGTGAGGGTGATATTTAATTGGTGGAGAAAATTGATTACTGGGAGGAAAGACCAATATTAATCAACATCTGTTTAAAAGCAGTGTTTGTGTATTTTCTTCTCAGTAGTGATATAAATAATTGTGCTTATTTGATTGGTATGCTCGTCAAGAAGCAAGTAGCATTGATATCAATGTTGATTTGCATAGCCTTTGCTGCCAGTCACAGCTGTTTAAAAAAAAAACCACCAACTGAATACAGAAATGAATTCAGCAACCTGTAAGATTGACTGATTTATAACTGGTGTTATTCTTCTCTATTTGTGCCAAAATAAATCACAGTAAATGACAGTACCAGGTCATAAGTTTTATTTTAAAGAAGGGCTTGGGGATTTTCTTAAGTTCTGTGGGACTTCAGTCCTTAATTTTATGACGAACACATATCTTACTGTGTGTAGATTTCAAGTTAGACAATCTTATTTTCTTGTGCCATTGACACTGTGGGATTTACAGAAGTCAAATTTTGTGTCTAAGAAATGAGCTACATCCTTGTTCCACCTGAAAGTGCGCTTCTGTCTATTTGTATAAAACTAAGATGGGGTGTTTTGTTCTGATCCCCTTATAGAGCTTCATTGTAGAATACAAGTCCACGTATTATTAGCTCACTGATGGTTTTATGTAAGCCCGTTTCACTCTTTACTGTACAAATTTATTAGTGTTTGGCTAGTCTGGTATAGCATCAATTAGCTTGAAACTGTACTTTGTGTTTAAATAGCTGGAAAATTGCTTTTTTTTTTTTTTTCTAAATAAAATTTGTCCTCAAATCTGAAGTGTTGCTTTCTTCATGGTGAGACTATTCCTTTACTGTATGAATTAATCTCATGAGACTCTTTAAAATTCAGATCCCAGTCTTTATTTATGTATTTTGATGGGTTCTGAGTTGGTGATGGCATTGTAAGGTAAACATGTGAGGCCTTGATTTGGAGATTGGCATTTATGCCTGTGAGGAAGTTATTCAGCTCTTACCTTCCCATATGGGTAAATGAACAAAGACAAGCAGCTGGCTCCTGGGGAATACAAAACAGCAGCCACTGCCTTTCATCCCCAAGCAAAATCCATAGAACAGTGTGAAAGGTGGTCCCAAAGGAGCTGTTTTGCTTCAGTAATATTTCATTCTCCCCTGCATATGGTTCAGAGCTGGCATGGGTGTGTGCTGGTGCTGTAGGTTATTTTGAGGTGCATGGACATGGCCTGCTTCTACTTGAAACTAATGACTGCCCAAAGTGTGTAGTTACTGCTATAAAAAGTTTCACAGGCTCAGCAACTTCTCTGCTTTTACCTTAGATGAAGTAAAGAATGTAATAGATTCAGGTCATCTTCTCTTTGTCAGACCTGATGTTCAGAACCCTCTTACCTTGAAATAATGGCTTCCAAACATGAAGTGACCTTATTTTCTGAGTATGATATCGAATCTGGCATGTACAAACAATAAAGGTGAAGCTGCTATAAGGCTAAATCGTCTAGCTGTAAACAAAGTCTCTAGAAAGGACCCAATTCCTTTGGCTTTTCCAAAAGGGTAGCATCTTTAAAGCTGTCGATGGAGATAGACTGATGGTTCTTACCCCAAGAATTAGCATTGAACGGTGCATTAAGATCAGTAATGGGTTGGAATGAGCAGGATAAACTTGAAACAAAGGGTTTTATTTACAGTTTTTACTCCTGGGGTCCTACTGCGTGGAACAAAGACCACAGAACCAATCTATAGCCAGTATTGCATCCCTTTCTCATTAATTTTTATTATAATATTACCTCAGAGCCTTGGGTATGAACCAGAATCAATTGTTTTAAGTTTCCACAATACCTACCACAAAAGACGAAGCCGGCGGCAGAGAACTGGCAGTCAAAGACAAACCAAAAAACCCCAAACCACGAGATGGGTGAGAGAGTACTAGGAAACTGCATTGTCACGTGCCAGTATTGGGTGTGCTGCCAAACTATTGTAAAGATTTGTATGCGTACGTGCACGTTGTGTAGGCATAATCATAAAAATAATACTAAGGAATAGTTGGAAAAAAAATAATGCCTCTAGGAGGATTATCTGGCAGCAGTAATCCTAATCGAAGGAGCAGCTCAAAAAGCACAAATATACCAGGTTGAAAATCTGGTAAAAAAATTGTTTGGAGGTAGGAATCTCCCAGGAGTGGCAGAGGAGGTGATGGACCCCACGAGGGTTGAGAAGGCTCTTGTGAGGGGAGGCAGGCGGTTAGCATTCGCAGCAGGGAAGCTGCCTTCCAGTGGAAGATCTTAGAAAGCCATCTCCTTGCTTGAAGTGGTGGGCTGTGAAAGATTTCCTGATGCTTTGTATTTGTCTTGCTATTTCCACTGTCACCTCATTTCTCACATCTCTGCTTTCTGCTCTTGCATCTGTTCCTGCTGCTGCCTCCTTGACTCTGCTGCCCGCTCCAGCAGTGCTGGTGAGAAGCCCAGCCTGGTCTGCCTGCAGGAATTGCTCTCTGATGCACTCTGGAGCTCTTGCTGTTTCCTCTAGGTCGTGCCTACCTCAGTGCTTGGGAATTAGTGGGCTGGAAAGGTTCATGTGCAATATGCAGTGGAAATAATAATAGTAAAGTGTCTGTTTAAATGTTTGCAGAGCTGAATCTATGTGGACGTTTGTTTATAGGATTGAATTTATACTGGATATTTACCATGGACTTGATCCAGGGCTATCAAAGTTACTGAAACTTGGACTGGATCCTACGGCAGAGATGTCTGCAATCCTTATATTGTTTAATAAACAAACAGCTGAATAATCCTGTTGCATAAAATGGTAGAGGGTTGTTTTGGCACTATTTGATTATTTTATTTGATGAATTTGAGAAGATTCATCCATTAGCCAGAATAGCCAGTCATTTCACATTATGTCTTCCTAAACAAATTCTTGGAAGGCCCTTTTTAAAAACAACAGCAACAACAAAATCTAGGTGCTTTCCAGTAATCCTAAAAGCATGTACAAGACCTATCTAGGACCTGTCTTGCTTTCCTCAAGACTGAGGAAATCTGGAAGGAGGGGGCAGAATTGGAAAGAAGTATATCTAGTTTTTCCTCTGATTTGGAAAGAAGAAGAAAGAAGAATTTTTAGTCTGAGCTGAGCAGAAAAAAATAACGATGTGCCAAAAAAGTCCTTTAGAAAATCTGAGGAGACCTGGTTTAAAGTTCATGGTGCATCTGATTGCTAGGTGAGCATGGCCAGGTCAGATGTATTTCCTATAGGTGCACCATCTCACTTGCAGGATTGCATTTTTTCAGACAGTGCAAAAAGACAAGGCAGCAGTAATGTAGTTTAAGTAGGTTATTGCTCTATTAACTAACACATTTGGGAACTGTCTGGTAGTAACTTATTTGGTTCAGGTCATCCGCCTTTGCAGTCTGCTCTGTGTGGTGGAGGATAGTCAGAATTCCTTGTCATCTCCCCAGAGAGATTAGTCCTCTGTCTTCTGCTTGTATGAAGTCAAGCAAAAAAAAGGGTGGAGGTGAAGAAGAGCAGGTGTGCACTGAGTGCTGGGGGTGCCAGTCCCCTTCCCCATTGTCTGGTTCTATCCAT